GGTTCTAGGGTGCAGATGCGGTTCTAGGGTGTATAGATGTGGTTCTAGGGTACAGATGAGGTTTTCGGGGTATAGATGCAGTTCTAGGGTGTAGATGCGGTTCTCAGAGTGTAGATGCAGTTCTCAACCTCATGGCAAAATCGTCCCTCCTCCTTTTCCCACATTTCAAAATCATTTTAATTCATGCTTCCCAATGATTTTAAGTTAAATGTGCTTTTTTTTTTTTTTTTTTTTTTTTACCGGGGATTGAACTCAGGCCCTGCAGTTTTCAGGCAAGTGCTTATTCTACTGAGCCATCTCCCCGACCCCCAAACCCTTTTCTGTTGGTTCTTTAGATGTGTGAATGTCTCGCCTCAGGCTCTTTCACCTGCTGTTTCCTCTGCCCACCTCAGCCTTCACCATACTCTTCATTTTGTTTTTGTTTGAGAAAGTCTCACTTTTGGTCATGTTGGCCTCAGACTCGTTATGTAGCCCAGGCTGACTTCAACTTCACGGCTGCCCTCCTGCCTCAGCCTCCCAGTGCTGGGGTCGCAGGCGCGCACCACCTCACCAGGCCTTTGCCGTGCTCTTAGCACACCCCCCTCCTTTGCTTCCTTGGGAGGTCTGAGTTCAGAAGACACCTTCCCTGATCGCTCTACCTGTGCACAAGTAGGTCTTGTCTTGATGACTTTGTACCATATCATCCTCCCCTCTGGAATGTCAGCTCTGCAAGGACAAGGACAGTGTCTGTCCCAGTCATCTACTGGGGACAGTTTTGCCACTACAACCACCACTACCCCGGGGCACTTATCAATCACTAGAGAGGCGGTAGTTGTCACAGTGAAGTGTAGAGGGGTGGCGCTGGTGTCTAACAGGTGATGACCAGAGGTGCTACTCAGCATCCTGGAACACACACAACACCCAGCTGCAGACTGACCCAGCCCCTGGTGTCCAGATGTGCCAACATTGAGAAACTCCTGTTGTCTTATTCGCCATCATATGCGCAATGACCGGCACAATTCCTTACAGCTATGTAGGTGATCACTAAGTACTTGTGTTAAATAAGAGAGAGGCTGAACAAGCTCCCAGCACCGTTGTCTCTGTTGTGTCTGTCCTCTTTGTATCCTTTCTGTCTTGGGGATACTAAGTGTAGGGTGTTTCAATGATGCCTACACAAACCAGTCATGCCCTCCAGGGTCAAGATGCACGTCTCTGGAAAATCACTGGCAAGCATGCTTCTCTGACTTTGCAAATGAAAACAGCAGCAGCTACATTTTGCTCATGAGATTTTAGAGGGGAAGCAGCTGCCTTGAAGTGAACAAGGAAATGATCGTTGTAACTTCTTACATTTACCTGAAGGCTTTCGGTATCTAACCATAAAAACAGTCTAGTGGCTCATGGTCCTGGAGTTCACACTTCGAGGCTCTCTAGCTCTGTAGGTATCTTCTCAGGTCCTAGAAAGAATAAACAGTTTCTGAAATTCTGTAGAAACTAAGGGAACAGAAAGGAGGCACCGGCGGTGCAGACTCGATGTCCAGGGCAGCGGCGTTGATGAAATCACTTTATGTTTTGTAGCATGGAGAGAAGCACCAACAGACATCAGAAGCCACTGGACTTGAAGGACGTGCCCAGACCTGGCCAAGGTCCAGACACGGGATCAGCGGTTACACAGGTCAGCCAGACTCAGGGCTTACCGGTAAAACCAATAATGCTTTCACTGAGGGCTTAGGCATAAAAATTGTGGACAGGGAAAGCGCAGTGTATTAAATCTGGGTATTTCTACTCTCCTAAATAAATAGATAAATAAATAATCTGGGTATTTCTGCAGATAGAATCCATGAATAAAAAAGGTAATTAAATATTCATCCCTAATTTCGTCTTTAGAAATGAAGAATCTATGCTAACTATAGAAAATTTATAGTTACTTGGCCGATCTCATTAAATATTTAGGAGGATGGTAAGATTTTGGCCATGTCATTAAAGCCTGAAATCTAAGGCACTTAATTTAAGTCTAAGTTTAAACTGTCCCCTTCTGAGATTTGTTTTTCTTGGATGGTTTCCTAACACCAAGCCCCAGAAATCTGGCTTGTGGCAGGAAAACCAGCCTGGAGAACGACAGGCTGGTGGGCCGACTCCTGATTCGCGAATGAGCTGCCTGCCCAAGAGGACTGAGCCCCTCCAGCTCTGAAAACAACTCCCGTTACTTGTCAGGGCCAAGGCCGGCTCAGAGTCATCTCTGAATCTGCTCTCAGATTTAAATATGATGCCTTTGAAGTGGTGATGATCAGTCAAAAATGATATAGTTATGGTACTGGCAATTAAACAATCAGAAAGATAATCATGTCTGGCTTCTCACAAGTTTAATTAAAAAGGAAATGAGGAAAGGTCAATAGGGGTTTGAGATTCTGAAGAAATCTTTCAGTGACTCCAAATGCTGATGACATGGGTCTTTATTTCATCTAATTGCATATTAAAATACATAACTTTCCAGGTGCACACAGGGCCACTTTTTTTTTTTGTCTCTTTGAGACAGGGTCACACTGTGCAGCTCAGGCTGGCCTTGAGCTCACTTCGTATCTCACTCTGATCTCGAACTCACAACGATTGCCTTCCCTCAGCCTCCCAAAGTGCAGAGACTGCAGGTGTGCACCACCCCACCCATAGATGGGGCCTCCTTTTTCTCAAAAACAGAGAACTATGGGAAAGAGGGAAAGACGGCCCAACACACAGCATTTCCTTGCCTCTCTAACTAAGGAAGCCACCTGCTTCGGTGCGCAGGTAGTGTGGCCTACAGTCGGGATCTGTGTGTCTAACAGTACTTTTTCAAATATGAGTAATATAAAATCTGCATACATATCTCCAGAGAAATAAAAGTATCTTTGTCCTAAAACATGACAGATAGCCTCAAAAGCGAGGAAAATGACAGAAGATTAAGTCTACAGTGCTTCACGCTACTGCAGGGGGTGGTAGTCCTGAAGGATGGAGAGAGCGACACCTAGTGTCATGGCACAGAGCGTTAGCTTTTTGAGAGGACTTTCAGCAGCTTGAATCCCAGGAGAGCTCGCCGTGTGCTCAGCCCTTGCTTGTTCTTTCACGGAATAATCAGTTCAGTGCTGACTTAGAGGGACGAGATCGTCTTAGACGTCAGAGTCTGCTCCGTCACCAGCTGCCCGGTCTTGAGCAAATGTCGTAACTTCTCTGTGCCTCCATTTACTTGTCAGTAAAACCAGGTTATCAAGACGGAAGCTAATTTGTAGAATTAAATGAGTTTAGATAGGAAAAGTGGGGGCCAGGGAGATAGCCCAGCAGCTTAAGCGCCTGCCTGGCAAGTGCAAGGTCCTGAGTTCATCCCTAGTAACAGCAACAACAAGAATATGAAAAACGTTTGACAGTAAAAGCTATTTGTTTGCTCTAATTATGAATGTGTCTTTCACACTTTTAAACACTTGCTAATTTCCTTTTGAAATGCGGCAGAGTGTATTTTAAAGCACGCAATGCTGTCCAGCTGGGATGTAGTTGCAGAATTCTATTTTTAGTCTTTGCTTTATGGTGACCTTCTATTTATGACCAAGCCTGAGTGGGAAATAAGTCATTGTTAAAAACTGTTCATGCAGAAACACAGCGCTTCTAGCTGCAGCTCTGCCGTGCCGTTTCTAGAAAGGGAGAAGCTGCTGTGACAGCTGGCGGAGACGGGAGACTCGCACCTGCCGAGCACCTTTCTGGTCTCCCTCTCGTCTCTGCAGGTTCCTCTTTCTGTGTTCTCTGTGCTATGCAAACTGACCCATCAGGGCCCTCAAACAAAGGGCAGGAAAAGGCACTTTCCAGGCAGAGGTGGGGAAGGGGTGGGGTGTCTGAGTGTATGAGGACCAGGGGCAGTGCGTGCTGCTGTAGGGAACCGCGACAGTGATTTCCAGTACAGCCACTGCCGCTCGTGGGCAAGGAAGGGCCAGTCTCCTGCCCACCCACCATCCGTGTAGCACAAGTCCTGACCTACACAAGCCCCAGCAAAGCCGCTTGGGGTCAGGCCCGTGTCCAGGCGACATCTTTGACCAACCCAGTGGGCCAGACAGCGCTCAGGCTTGTGCACGCCATAGTCAGCAGCCAGCAAGGCATCTCGCCGTGTGACGGGTCTGGCCCTGCACCTCAGGGGAGCCGTAGCAGCCCGCATGGCCCTTCCTTGCCCACGAGCGGCAGTGGCTGTACTGGAAATCACTGTCGCGGTTCCCTACAGCAGCTCGCGCTGCCCCTGGTCCTCATGCACCCAGACACCCCACCCCTTCCCCACCTCTGCCTGGAAAGTGCCTTTTCCTGCCCTTTGTTTGAGGGCTGGCTCCTCTTCTGCCTCCAGGGCTTGGCCCTCCGTAGCCCACAGCCCCATCTAAGAGGCCTCTACCTCCTCTTCCTTGCCAGCCCATCATTTTCTCTCAGCTCATCCTACTCTTTTCCTACCAGCCCGATTGCTTTCTGAAAGTGCTTTCATTTCTCATTTGCTGTCCTGCTATCTGCACTCTAAGGTGAGCTCCAGGAAATCACCCCTGACCTATGCACACAGTGGCCCTGCACCAGGACCGGGCTAGGACGGGCCAGTCACAGGAATGGCTGGAAATGCGCCCTGGAAAAGGAGCGGAGAAAGGTAGCCCTCAAGCGAGGCACAGGGTCCCAGATCCAGGCTGCCTGCCTGCCTTCCGGCTTCCAGAGGCTCTCCAACAGCAGCCTGGGCCTTGAGTGGCTCCCGCTCCACCCTCCAGGCCCTCGTGCGCTTCCTGAGCCTAGTAAAGCATCCACAGCACAGGTGTGCTAGGGACAGACTAAGAGCCACTTCATCTCAGGCCAGGTGGATCGCCAGGAAGTTCCTGCTCCTAACACTCACCTGCTGCGCCTACGACTGCGCTCTGGCGGGGATACAATGGCTGTGTGTTCCGCTTCTCCTGTTAGCCAACAACTGTTTGTTGAGGACCCCTTAGTCTGACAGGAAGCAGAAGTCATCTGAAAAGATACAGGAAAGCAAGAGTGGAAATGGACAAAGGCCATTCAGGTGGGCACAACTGGCAGTTTATGCCAAGTTTGCCCTGGCTGCGAGGTAGTGACCGTCGCCTGTGTTTGGTGGAGACTCAAAGACACGCAGTGGAGGGAGAACATTGTATCATGAAAAAGAGTCTGACTGGGGTTCACTGTGACTGGAGGAGCTTGGGGCAAGCAGGTGGGGGTCCTCCAGGATCAGTTTGGAGGACACATTGGGCTTTCTCCAACTCATCCAGTTTAGACACCAAAAGCTAGGGCAAGGACAGTCACCAACAAGCTCCTCGGCATTCCGGGCCAGTTCCTACTGTCATGTCGTGTCGCACGGTGTCATACTGTCACACTGACTTCTGTTGGCCTGGGTGTGACGTCCTGGGGCCGTGGCAGCCTGGTACATTCGGCCACACGGTGCGGCAGGGTGAGTTCCCTTGCGTGGTCTGGCCGGGCACTGGAGGCGAGGAGCAGGGACCAGGTGGTCTTCGCAAGGCGTCTGCTCCCGAGCACGGGCCTTCACGTGCAGACACCTCCCGAGCAGGAGCGCTCCAGCCTGCCCTTGGGTGGGAACTGTTACGGGTCACTCTGCAGAGGAACCAGATCAGCCAGATAGAAATTTGAATAGAGCCTTTTAATTACTGAGCTCAGGTACCTCAGCCACTTCTCTCGTAGGAGAAGGCTGATCGGCCTCAAACATAGGTAGCAAGGGGGTGTTTATAACAGAAATCACATCCAGTCCAGTTTGGTAAGCAAATTTGTTATCTAGTACAGAACAACAAAAAGTACATTTATTTGACACAGCTGCAAACTGTTCATAACTAAAAGGTCTTTCACAGCTTAGTGATAAGTGCATATTTTTACAAGATATATCTTAAGCTGACTATATTACAGAAGATGGTTGGGGAGGGAGTTTGTGTTAGTTTGCTGCCTTGACAAGATACAGTTATTTATTGTTGAACAGCCTTGAGCCAAAAGGGAGAACACATTTCTTAGAGCAGATAACAGGAAGCACAAGGGTTTTTTTATAATTTTCCACAGTTAAGGCACAAAACTCTGTTAACCCTTTACAGGAACCTCCAGGTACCGGGGGGAGGACCCACGGGGCCAGGGCCAGGGCCAGGCTTCGGTCTGATTCTGACTTCTCCCTCACAGTGCTCGGAGGGAAGCCAGGTTCAGCCAGCTGCCGAAGACCCTGAAGACTGGCTTTCCACTCACAGTCTAGAGTTCGAGAAGCTCACGCTGTCCGACCTGCTGGGTCAGGGCACGGCTGCGCTGTAAGTCTGGAGCTGCTCCTTCCTTCCCCCAGGCTGCAGGGATGCCGCCAGACCCTGGGCCCGAGAGCCCTTCTTAAGACTTTGCCCTTCCAGGGAGAGCAGCGGCGTCAGGCAGGAGATACACTTCTCCCCTCAGAGCATCTGCCGCTTCGAGTCAAAGCTTTCCGCGTAAGTGTGCTTCCCAACAGCCTTCCCGCAGTCTCAGTGGGACCCTGGGCAGAGCTCCCCATCTCTGGCCTGCCTTGCCCTTTTTTCAAATTAGAAAGTTGGGCCAAGTCCGTGTCTTGCCAGGTATGCTAGTGCACTTGGGAGGCTGAGGCTGGAGGGTCTCTGGGAGTTCTAGGCCAGCCTAGACTACATGGTAAAACCCTGTCTCAAAAACAAAAGCAACAAAAAACAAAAAAACAAAAACGACAAACAAAAAATCAGTGACCTTCAGTCTTTTAAGATCCATGGCTCAGCCAGGCATGGTGGCACACGCCTATAATCACAGCACTCCGGAAGTCCAAGGCAGGAGGATCACAAGTTCAAGCCTCGCCCTAGAGACTTAGTAAAAACATGTCTTACAAAAGAAAATGGTGGGGGAGGGACTGGAGGTGTAGCTCAGTGAAATGGCCTGGATTCAATCTCCAGCACGGAAAAAAAAAATCAATCACAGACCCCCGGTTGAACACCTACGATCTCACAGCTGCATCCGGGGGCTGGCGTGACGACTTTCACCATCACGCTGGTTAGGCTCATGTCAAGGGAGGTCGGAAACAGGCAAGCACCCCATTCCTAAGCGGGGTTCATGGCACAAATACACATCACTGGTCAGTAATGGACAGTCATCAGGAATTGATTAGGACTTTTCATGGTTATATTCCAGCGCTGCCAATCTGTGACCCACAATTACTCTGGGCCTGTGGTTATGATAATAACGAATAGCTAACATTTATTGACATGTCTGAAATTCCGCCAAGGACTGCGCGCCTGTCTGACTGAACCTTTATAGCCGCCCCAAGCATTGTATTACTCTCCAGCCAGTTAGCCAAAATGTACTTGCTAGATGACTATTCTCAGAAGGACCAATTTACGCATTTATTTCTAAGAATTGAACCCAGGGCTGTCACCTGGTCCACATCGCCACCTCTTTTAAGAGTTTTGAGACAGAGCCTTCCTAAGTGACCCGGGTTGTGTTCAAGCTGTCATCCTACAGCCCACTGCACCCAGCTGGGCCCACCACATCTGCCAAAATACGTTTAGTGGTAAATTTTATATTTACTACCTTTTTATAACAATTTTTATTATGTTGAAAGGCTAAACAAGTTTTAAAGGGTTCCACACAGCTTGCTTGGTTGGCCTTAGTCGTGTGCCCTGCACTCTCAGGAGTGTCCGAGTCTGGCCAGTGCACCTGCTGGAGGCCCCAAAGCTAGTCAGTAAGTGGCCAGGTGGACCTCAGACGCAGGCAGGTCGCCCGTGACAGGCGCATGCTGTCAGCTCCGCGGTCGCGTCCACGCGTCCCTGGCCTCCACCCACCGCGCCACCCAGAGGCCCCAGCTGCTTTTCTCAGGGCTCCTATCCTGTCTGCCCTCAATCAGCTCAGGTGAGCTGAGTTCACGTGACCTGTCCCTACCTGGAGCACCTGCCACACTCTGGTGTCCCTCCAGTCCTCCAAATGGTTTGCTTTGCATGAGGGGAGCCCAAGAGATTACCTGGCTCTTTTTCAGACATTAATGCTTTTGCCAGCCAATCCAGCACAGACCCACTGCCCAACAGCCTCTCTGTCTCTGTGCTCAGTGTCCGGGGACAAGGGACGGCTCCACCTGAGGCTGCAGGTGCCCCCTTGCCCTCCTCCTGGAACGTAGACCCACCCTCCCCGGCCTGCCCTCACTTTGAGCCCACCATGGGCCGCACCAACCCGCGGCGGCCGCTGACCAGTAGAGCAGCCTCTGTACTCCATGCCTTTCACAGCGTCCTTGGTGTTTTATCTGGAGTCCTAACACGGATCTGTATCCTGTTAGTTTTCTTCCTAGATTTTGCCTCTGTCTTCCCAAAACCTTGGCCACGCTGAAAATCTGCTGTGCACACCTTCCGTGTGTGTCAGCTGCTGCTGCCTACTGACATCTTTCTGGTGTCTTCGCAGAGTTATTGGACTCTATCAACAGAGACGCCAGGGGCTCTCAGAAAACAGCAAGAAGGTAACGGGCTGGCTTGGCCCTGGCCCCTTCCGTAGCCTGCCTGCGTTGATTTGAAGCCGCCCTGTTCTAAGCCAGCTGCGGTACTGCAGACTGTGTCCCACCTCCCCGGGAGGCTAAGGCAGAAGAATCAAACCTGAGGCCACCCTGGGCAATGGAGCCCTTAGTGAGCCTCATGACTTTATACAACGGTCACTCCGTGGTAGAGTGCCTCAGACGCAGTCCCCAAAACAAAACAAAACCACTTTTCATTGCAAATTGTACATTTTCAACTTAAAGTAACTTAAACTAAAAACGAAATCTCCTAACCTCTACAAATCAAACCCCCAGAAGCCGCTGCATCCAGGTCTCTGGACTCTGCTCCACTCTAGTTTGGTTTTTTTCTCGGGTCAGAATCTCCCCAGGCTTGGGAAGATACCTACCCACAGCTCTGAGCTCACACGTCACCCTCTGCCAGCGGGTAGCTGAGAGCAACTTCCTTTCCTACACCCTGCACGCCCTCCTGTGTCCTGGGGGGCCCAGCGCCCCATACCTGAGGGGTGAGACATGCTAGCATGCCAGGCCTTTTCCTGGGCAAATGTAGGGGACGCAGAATGGGGGACACTGGCTAGCACCTCGTCACACTGCGTACGGTGAGGAGAGGAGGCTGTGATGGCTATGGAAAACGGGGTGTGTTTCCAGAAGAGGAGATGGGTCCAGTGCAGGTGGGAGCCCCAGGCATCCACTAGGCCCCCGAACCTCTGACCCCTGAGATTTATGATGAGGCTGACAGGTGGCTGTAACTTTCCTTGGAAGGTTGATGTCAACGTTGTCCTCACACTCCAAGGGAAAAGTGGTGGTGGACAAATTCACCTTGGATTGGCTCTCTGTGCTTTACTTATGTCCCTCTCCATTTTCTGACACCCTTAGCTGCAGGCCCCAGGTCTCGGTTGCAAAGCAAATGCTGGAATTCATGCCCCCGTCCCAATCCCACCTCTACCAAGACCCACAAGAGACAGCACTGTGCTGGGCTGACGTGGCAGGGTGCAGCCGCTTGCTTCAGAGCTGGAAGCTTCTTCCCACGCTAGACTAGTCTATGGGTGCGTCTTTCTCACCAGCGCCTCTTCTGGTGGCCTGGGGTAACAGCCCAGAAACATGCTGGCCCAAAGCCCTCCCTGCCAGGAATGACCTGCCCTGGCACCTGTGGAAAGTGGGGCTGGTGGATCCCTCTCCTCCCACCTTCTGGGGGAGCTGTAGAGGAGCCCTCAGATGAGCTTAGGCCGGTAAACAGTTCACAGGCCTCTGGGTGTGCAGGTTGCCTGGAGAAAGAGCTTTGGTGGTAGGATTCACAGGGAGTAGGAAAGGAAGTTCCGGTCAGCTACACACAGGCCAGAGGGCTCCTGCTCTGCTCTGTCAGGAAGGCTGTAGAAAAGTGGCCTCACTCCTCTGGGGCCTGTGAGGCTGCCTGGTTATAAACTAGTGTCGTGGAGGCCAGATCTGAGCCACAGCCATGTTCATTCAGCCATCTGAAATACTTTTTCCTGTTGGTTGCTAAGCTTTAAATGTCCTGCTCTTTCGCTTTCTTTTTTTTTTGGTGGAACCGGGGATTGAACTCAGGCCCTTGCGCTTGCCAGGGAAGCGCTTATTCCACTGAGCCATCTCCCCGGCCTGGAGGATTTTTATTTTTATTTTTTATTTTTTGGCTCGGAATGCCTTCAGGGCAGGTTTGGCTGGTTGAGTTGTGAGATCGAACCAGAGCAAGCTGAGCCTTACTGCTTTGTTGAAGCAGCCACTTAAAGAACTGAGCTAAGGGGCAGGCCCCCTTGCTCTTTCACTTTTATGTCTGCTTTCAGACTACTCTCAAAGGATGAGTAGCCAGGAATGGTGGTGCATGCCTATAATCCCTGCACTCGGGAGGCTGAGGCAGGAGAATCTCTAGGAGTTCAAGGCCTGCCTGGGCTACATAGTGAGTTCAAGGCCAGCCCAAACTGCATAGTGAGACCTTGTCTCAAAAAACGAGAAAAAAGAGAGAGGTGAGCATATTGGGTTCTCCCTAGCCTTCAACTCTTCTTATATAGTTGTCAATTTATTCTATGGAATGTATTTCTACAGTTTTTATGGCTAAGTTAAAAAAATGTATATTTTTAATCTCAAAATTGTAAAACTCTAATGGCAGCTTTTTTTTTACATTTTAAAGGAATAGGACTGGCTTAAATTTTAACTTCTGGCTTCTGAGTGTTGACAGTGCCTTAGAAAGCCTTGTGCTTCATTTGGGTCATGAGTTCAGCAAATACTTACTCGGCGAGGGCTGTGCATCAGGCCCAGTTCTAGGACGGGAGCCCCAAACAGGAGCAGAGCAGAAGTCCCGTTTCCTGGAACTGCCCCACAGAGGGGAAGGAAGTCAGCGCTTAAGTTACCAACCCATAAACAAAGTTGCTCAGCGACAGTGCTAAAAGGAGATTAAGAGCCCAGGTGTGGGGGCGCATGCCTGTGATCCCAGTGCTGGGGAGGCTGAAACAGGAGGGTCACTGCGAGTCCGAGCTGCATAGTGAGACCCTGTATGAAATACATAAAAAAAGATTAATCAAAGTTGAGAACAGAGTTCAACAGAAGGAGGGCGATTTATGTAGGGCGATCAAGGAAACCACTTTGAGGAAGAGAGATTTGACTAGACCTCTACAGGAAGTGAGAGACCCAGGGAAGAATGTGCCAGGCAGGGAAAGCAGCAGATGCCAAGGTCCTGTGGCAGGAACGAGTGTGATGTCTTCCAAAGGCCATGAGCAGGCCAGCATAGTGAACACAGAGGGAGCTGGGTGTGCTGGCACACACCTGTAATCTCAGCACTCGGGAGGCTGAGGCGGGAGGATCGCTGTGAGGTTGAGACCAGCCTGGGCTGCACAGTGAGCTCAAGACAGCCTGAGCTGCATAGCAAGACCCTATCTCAAAAATATGAGGGGGAGAGAGACAGAGACAGAGACAGAGACAGAGACAGAGAGAGAGACAGAGACAGAGAGAGAGACAGAGACAGAGAGAGACAAAGAGAGAGAACAGAGAATTGTTGCAAATGTGAGAGGAGATGTAAAACATCCATCTCTGAGTGGAGAAGAGTGAGTTGAACAGGAAAACCAGGCGTGCAGTAAAGTGGGAGCCAGAAGCCCTGAGTGGGGCCGAGCTATTGATGTCACGCGAGTGAAAGTTTTAATTCACAGGCAATTTAGTGTGGTAAGCACTCACTAGCCCAGCCCAGCAGCCGTGACATGGAGACAGTTACCACTGCTAGAAATAGAATGAACTAAACAGCCTGGCAGCTGCTGCAGATCTGCAGTTAGCAGACCCATCTTTGGTGGAGCAGGCAAAGCACAAATAAGGCCGCAGAGAAACCAAGCCAGCTACACTGATGCAGTTGGGTGGTGAACATCCAGTCTGGCAAGGGATATTCCCTGCAGCCTCCAGATTTCCTAGAATGGGCTGCATTGCTTCATGCATGTGAACCAAATGTACTAAGGAAAGAGAGCTCTGAAAGAGTGGGCTGCGAGGACCTGGGGCAGACAATGCCCAGGGCTGCAGGCAGGCAGGACGCTGAGCTTTGCTTTCTCCTGCCCGATGGGGCTCCACCTGAGCCTTCCTGTGGAGGCCTCACGCAGGCCTGCCTCGTGGGGCCCAGGAGCAGCACCATGCTGGGCTGGTGTTCTAAGTGTCCTCTTTGGCTGCAGGCATTTGGTCTCATCAGGGGCACCAGAGTGGCCCTCCTCATCGATGCATCCGTGCTCAGCAGCGGCCCAGGCACAGAGGAGTTCCTAGATGACTTCTCGGTAAGTCTCCGGGGCACAGAGCACCGGGAGCCACCCCTTCCTGCACTTGCTGACGGCTCTGTGTGAGGTAGAGGCAAGGCAAGGTGTTTTATAAAGAACAACAGCTCGCACTTAATTAGCACCTTCAGTGAGAGGACTAAGTGAGATTCTGTGGAAACACCCCCTACACACACACACGCATGCACACACACATGCACGCACACTCATGCACGCTGTTGTGTTGGGTGGCCGTGTGAACTTGTACTACTCTCACCACAGCAGTGCCTCCCAGCCAGGTTCTGTCTCTAGAGGCCGTGGGCTTCCTGCAGAGAGGACACAAGAGCCACACGCTGCTGGGCCTCCTCCAGCACTGTGCCACACAGGCTCCGGGCCACTCCTGCGTGAAGATCCATTCCGGTTTCTTTCCACAGTAGAAAAGCTCAGAGCTGTGGAGCTGGCCACCTCCTCCACCTCTGGCCTGCGTGTTAGTTACCTCCTGGGTAACCATGGCTAGCTTGTGGGCTCCCTCAGGATGAAAAGGGTTTATGCCGAGAAAATGCCCAGGATTGAGTATGGTGCGGAGAGAGAAACCACTGAAATCTTTGCGAAGCCATGCGGAGGTTTGGGTTTCTTGATGGAAATTCCTGGGGTTTGGGTAGGGACCATGGCAGCAACAGCCCCTTAGATTCCATAAAGGCCCAACAGAGCCTGTACAGGCCACACACGACCAGACTTTTCCTCTGCCTGGGTCTCACTGAGGGCCAGGCCAGGGGTCAGTGCAGGCTGCCCCGTGACAGCTTCACAGGTTCGCCAGACGGTGTGGCCTGACACTAGCCAGGTGTCTTAGTTACTGTTCAAGTCGAGGAGACAAAACACCTGACACTCAAAGTTAGAAGAGGGAGGGTTTGTGTGGTTCACAGTTTCCGTCCATAATCGGCTGGCTCCAGGTCAGGGTGGTGAGGGCGACAGGCATGGCAGAGGAGAAGCAGCTCGTGGTGGGCAGAAGGCAGCAAGCAAGTGCGTGAGGGCCGACCTCAGCTCTTTCTGCCCCGTGGCTTCTCCAGGCTCCTTAGGGCGGGCAGCACTCACACCCTCAATGTTAGAGCCCTTGAGCTTAGTGCCACACCATGAATCCATCCCAGTGTCACACTCTAGATCCAGCCATCTCTGAAAAAGCCCCACCTGTAACCAAATGAGGCTTTGGGGAACATCTGGACACAGCTGGGATACCAATGCAAGACTCCTATTTGTGGCAGGCAGGTGAAATTTCTCACCAGCCAGGAAAGAGGGCAGAGCTGTGGCCCCTTGGGGTTCCTGTCAGCTGCAGCTTAGAGCCCTGCAAGCATGGGTACTGTGTCCGTGTCCCACCCCGACTCATCCCTGACTCCTGCCCTCTGTCCTCCCTTGCGGCACCTCAGGTCCAGCTACAGCACACCCAGGGCGCTGATAGCGCATGTGAGGCCCTTAGGTTGGAAACACTGCTCACTGGGGGCCGGCTGCTAAGCCGAGGGTCACAGGCCCTTGTTCCAGTGCAGCTCAGAGCCCAGCTCAGAGGGACCGGCTGGGGCCCGAGAGGTGCAGCGGGCTCCTGCGGCTGCCCTGGCTGTGCAGACTACTGCTGTCTTCTTGTCTGGCAGAACCTGGTTGATGAGCAGCTGAGCCTCAAGGAGAAGCTGTACGTCTTGTCCTTCAGCACCACCGCCAGGCCCCTCTGGCTGGAGCCGGTGGACGTCAGCTCTTCCACGTGAGTGGCCTCCCCAGCTCTACCGTAATGTTTCGCCTTTGTCTTCCTCTGCATCGGTGTCTTTGTTGGATATTTAAGGTGAAAACCCAGGGCCTCCATAGAAAATGAGTACAGAGTGGCAACTCACAAAAGCAGAAACACTGGCAGCCAGTAATTTTTAGAAGATGGTTTGCCCCATGAGCAGTCCACTCAGGGAAAGATAAGGCACCGTTTTTATCCAGCAAGCTAGCAAAGATGGTCTGTAATAAAAATAATCGATGTTTTAAAATTCAGGCAGTATAGAATGATAAATAATGCTAAACAACTCTCTCTCACTCCAGTCTCCTTTGCCTCCTACTTTAATTTATTTTATTTATTATTATTTTCTTTTTGGTGGAACCGGGGATTGAACTCAGGCCCTTGCACTTGCCAGGGAAGTGCTTATTCCACTGAGCCATTTCTCTGGCCCCATCCTACTTTAATTTAGTTTACAAATGGTATCCAGCTCCAATGGCTGGAGATTTATTTTATTTTGCTTTTTGAGATAGGGTTTTGCATATGTAGTTCAGCCTGGCCTTGAACTCATTGTGTAGTCCAGGCTGGCCTCAAACTCATGGTAATTTCCAGCCTCCGCCGCCAAGTGCTGAGATTATAGATGTGCACCACCATGCCCAGCTAGCTTAGCTTAGCTTGGCTTAGCGTAGTTTAGCGTAGCTTGAGATAGGACTGTCTTACATTGCCCAGGTTGGTCTCAAGCTCCTGGGATCAGCGGGTCTTCCCACCTCAGCCACCCAGGGAGCTGGGGCTACAGGGGCCACACCCTGCCCCTGGCTGCCAGCTGCAGTCTCAGCTGCACTTCCTCAGACGGTCTGCACGTGCGTGCGTCTGTCTTTCCCCAGCGTCTGTCTGATACAAACACCAGCAGGAGCACATCATTGCTTTGCACCTGGTTTTTCCGCCCAGTCTGGACTTCGCCCCCGGTCAGTACGTGCAGCTCTGCCTTGCCTGCAGTGGCTTACAAAGCTTACACGGCATAGCTACCCTTCGTGCGGGAGGCTCCCCGCTGGGGGGTTGTAGGGTGCTGGGCAGTGTGTGAGAGGTCTTACTTGAGCCAGGATATAAAACTTTGACTTTTATAAGGAGAATCCCTTAGTCACCCACCGTGTGCAGGGTACCTGTATGATCGCATGGAATGTCCACCCCGTGGATAGATTATAATCCCCGTCTTGTAGGTGAGGATATTTGGATTTGGGGCATGTACCCAGTGTAAGAGAGCCTCACTGCACCACAGGCTCAGAGAAGCCCCAGGAGAAAGTGCACGCTTAACTCTCAGCTTCAGCTGCCTGCACTCGCCACGACAGGAGCGCTTCTGGTAGAGCAGTCGCCCGCCAAGGACTCCGTGCCTTCCAGCACCACCAGGGAGATAAAGTCAAGCGCCGGAGTGAGAGTGCTTGGTGCTGTAGACCTTGAGGTCACTTGGAGAGTATGGAGCCCGGGCTCCCCAACTTTGTCCTGGCTGGACTCTGCTGGCCGCACTGCCACATCCTGGTTCCATCGTGTGGCTGCTGTTTGTTCTGTGCCCCTGGAGAAGGTGGGATTTTCTTTAGCTTAGATTTGTTTATTAATGAAGGAAATTGTCTATCGATGCCGTAACTGCCAAGCCCATATCCACTTGGAATAATTAGAAAGTAGCCATAAAAATAAACACAATGAGGGGCCAGCCAGACAGCTCAGCAGAGCGCAGCGGCCAGGGTTTGATTCCTGGCATGTTGTGTTGGCCCTGCCCCCGGGCATGCTGAGATGGCGATTGAGACTGGGCATGCTGGCTCGTGCCTGTAATCCCAGCACTTGGGAGCCTGAACACAGGAGAATCACTTGGAGTCCAATCTGTGTAGCGAGACCCTGTATGCCCTGTAGGTCTTGAATTAAATGCCAGAAGAAGAAGGAGAGGAAGAGGAAGAGGAGGAAGAAGAGGAAGAAGAGAAAGAGGAGGAGGAGGAGGAAGAAGGAGAGGAAGAGGAAGAGGAGGAAGA